CCTCCCCTCTGCCATCCTCTTCATCTCTCCACCCCTCTGCTGGGTTTCCCTGCCGTGGGCTGCATGAACTTTCATTCTGGCTTCTAAGATACGCTAGCTCCAAACTCATATTTCAGGTCAGGGGGAGTTCCTGGTCTGTTTGCTGGCAGGCGAGGGTTTAACCCAACCCCGTTGAGAGAAGCACGGGTGGGGTCAGTGCAGGCCTGGCGGAGGCGGCAGTGACCTCACAGGGTTCTGCATCCCTAATGTCCCCACCTGCCCAGAAACCCCGGGCTGGGTCCCAGAGGCTGGCCTGGCCGTGGGACACCTGGAGGCAGTGGCGGGGTGGGGAGGCGCATTTTGGCCTGAAGGGCACAGGTGGAGGCCCGCAGGGTTTCGGGGAAACGTGGCCAACAGGCCGGCAGAGCAGGGGGCTCGGAGCACAGGCTAGGGGCGCCCCCTAGCGCTGGCTCGGGAGCTGTTCCTGCTACAACTTCAGGCCCCTCTCCAGCCAGTGCCCTGGAGGAGCGCTGGTGGGTGCAGTGGGACCCTGAGTAGGTGCTGGGGACCAAAGACCTGGGCCACTGGGAGCACAGAGGCCCATGAAGGTGCTGGGGGACCAAACCCTCCTTCTGAGAGCACTTCCTTAGAGACCCCAGGCAGCAGAGCACTGGCCAGGCTGGTCCTCGAAGCTGGCCCACCAGGAGCTTCCCAGCTGCTGCCCCTGCCCCATGAGGTGAGCCCTGAGACCCCGGCTGTCAGCACAGCTGAGCCTCCACCACAGGGTCCCCTCTAGTGGCTGGGCCTCCTCTAGGCTGGCAGGGTCCCCGCCTGTGCCTTCTGCTGGTTGGTGCTGAGGGGCACTTGTTTTGTGGGGGTCTGGCTTCCCATGGCTGGAGGCTCCTGGGGTCACCGACAGCACCTGGTTTGTTCATAGCTCTTTGGGCTGCTGTCTCCACGAGTGGGCACCTCCCCACCCCAGCTGTGGGGCCATCATTTCCTCTGATTAATAAGGGCCTAGGGGTCGAGCTAGGCCCCTGGTGTGAATGAACCAGCAGCCAGTGCTACGGAGAAGCCCGAGGCACCCACAGGGCCTGGTCCCAGTGCGGGCAAAGCACCTGTGGGAAAAGGGTCGGGCGCTGGACACCACACCACCATCCTGCCACAGGCACCCTCCACCCACTCCCGAGGCCGGGCCACACTGAGGTAGGGAGCACCCTGAGGTGCGGGCTGCAGCCTGCCCTCCGTGGCTCCATGCTACCACACGTCCCTCAGGGCCCTGCCTGTGGGCCGGGCTGCCGCCTGAAGTCCCGCCTTGCCCAGGACTCCCTCGGGCAGTACTCGGCCCCCTCTTTCCCCTCAGCTGCCTGAGTCTTTCAGGAGAGCTGGTCCTCCTGGGTGACACCTCAGTTATGGTTCCAACCCCTAACCCCAGGACTCCCAAGAAGTCACTGAGGTCCCCAGAGCAGGGAGAGCCTGACCGGTTGACAGGGCCACCGGTCCGGGGGCACTCTGTTCCCGGGAACGTAGGCCTCTAAGCCTGCAGGCCCTCCCTGAAGAGCAGGAAGTTGGAAGCCAAAGGCTGTGCCCACGGACGGGGGGCCCAGCACTCGAACCCCCAAGGACAGCGAGGCTCCTTCTGGAACTGGCCCCGTGGCCACACCTGCCCCTACAGCCCAGCCCACTTCCACTCACTCCTGTGTGCCCAACGGTTCAGAAATATTATTACTCCGCACTGTTACAGGAACACGGATTTGATGTTTTAATAAAAACACAATTTCTACAAAAGGTGTTTCACACAGCCCAGGATGGGCTCTCAGGTGGAGTCAGCCCTGGGACCCCTGAAGGATGCATGAAGACAGAGCCTCCTCCCGCCACGCTCCTGCCAGCACTGGGACCCACTGCCAGCTACTGCTGGGTGGCCTTCATTAAAATATCAAGTCTGGATTGTGACATTCCAAAAGGAGTCTGGAAGCCACAGGCCAATTCCTGAATCTACATTAGAAGTGAGTGTTTAGGCCAGGCACGGTGGCTCATGCCTGTAATCCCAGCACTTTGGGAGACTGAGGCAGATGGATCAACCAGACGTCGGGAATTTGAGACCAGCCTGATCAACATGGTGACCCCGCCTCTAATAAAAAAACAAAAATTGGCTGGACATGGTGGCACGTGCCTGTAACATCAGCTACTCAGCAGGCTGAGGCAGGAGAATCACTTGAACCCTAGAGGCGGAGTTTCCCGTAAGCAAGATTGTACCACTGTATTCCGGCCCGGGGGACAGAGCGAGACTCCATCTCAAAAAAAAAAAAAAAAAAAAAAAAAAAAAAAAAAAAAAAAAAAAAAAAAAAGGGGAGTGTTTAGTTGGCGTGAGAGGAAATACTGAATTCCCAGGTCAGGAATTCCAGTTTCATTTTCACCAGGCACAGATATCCCAGCTCCTGAAAAAGGCCAAGACCAAGGGTCAGGCAGGTGTAAGAAGCGATGCTTTAAGAACCTTATTACACGGCCGGGCGCGGTGGCTCAAGCCTGTAATCCCAGCACTTTGGGAGGCCGAGGCGGGTGGATCAC